AAAAAAAAAAAAAAAAAAAAAAACACATGCACGCACACACACAGACATACAACACACACAGACACACAACACACACAAACACACAAACACACACACACATGCCAACAATCATGCGCATACACACACACACGCACACTTACAAACACACACATACACAAACACACGCACATACATACATCATGCACAGACAGACTCTCACACGCAGGCACATACATACACATACAGACAGCACACCTGCACACACATAATTGGGGCCTTCAACTGCCATTTCGTCAAAATGGACATCTTTTATTTGTTGAACGAAATTGAAACCGAGTTGTTTCGCCGAAAACTCGTCAAAATTTGTTGTTCTTGAGGGTCCGGCGTTTGTAAAACGCTGGACCCCCTGGCTGTACATGGACCTAGCTTGAGACCAGGTACCTCCAGACAGTCCTACCTGGAGGTGTCTGGTCTCAAGCTAGGTCCATGTACAGCCAGGGGGTCCAGCGTTCGTAAAACGCTGGACCCTCAGGAACGACAAATTTTGACGAGTTTTTCGCCAAAAAACTCGGTTTCAATTTCATTCAACAAATAAAAGATGTCCATTTTGACGAAATGGTCGTTCTTGGGGGTTGGGGGATGTGGGGGTGGATAGCTTAGAGGGCTTTCGGAAAGGTTTGGCGACTGGTGCCGGGGGGTTGGTCAGTGGTGGGTGGCAGACCGGTTGGTGTTGGTCTAATTCGGTGGTATAAGAGGTGCTTCAGGGTTTGGGGGAGTCACAGTGACTGTTGTGTGTCCGATTTTGAATTCAACGCGGGTTCCACGTTGAAAAATTCAACGCGCGTTGAATTCACGTTAAACTCCCGTTCAAACGCGAGTTTGACGCGAATTAACAGGGTCGGGGATGATTGTTTTCCTAGGCTAAAAATTATCCAAAAACAAACAAACAAATATGGGGTTGTAGGTTTTTTTTAGGACTACAACCCTGTATTTTTATTTTTATTTTTTTATGCTTAAATCTATTTTTAAAAAATCAAAAACATAAACACACAATGAAAAAAGAAAAACTAAAATGAAATGAGTGTTTTTGTTTTAGGTTTCACACAAATTTTTTAAGGGCTAAAAAAAAAAAAAAAAAAAAAAAAAAAA